AGACATTCAGATACGTGTGTGTGTGTGTGTGTGTGTGTGTGTGTGTGTGTGTGCGCGCGTGTGTATCAGGAACTGAACCCAGGCCAGGCTCTTGGAATTACTACATCCTCGGACCTTTAGTTTAGTTTTATTTTTTGAGACAGGGTCTCATTTTGTACTTCAGTCTTTCCTTGAACTCACAGAGATGCTTCTCCCTCAGCCTGCCAAGTGATGGCTTTACAAGTGTGCACCACCATGCCTGGTTTGTTTTATTGTTTGGTTTTTGGTATTTGTTTTTTTTTTTTTTTTTGCTTAGAAACTTTGCTTTATCGTCTCAAAGAAGACTGTTGTTACTATTCTCATTGTTTCTACTGCCACGCCACAACCACAGCACTTTATTTTCTGGGCTACTCTACCAAGAAAAAATGAAACTTCCTATATATGTGTGTGTGTGTGTGTGTATATATATATATATATATATATATATATATATGGAGCAAAGACTACTGAGCCATTAAAGAATAATGGAAGCTCAAGATTAACAAAAACATTTAAAAGATACATAAAATCTCCTAAGTATTGAATTATTTCCATATGAACATATTTATCTCTTTAAGCTCAGCATGTCTAAACTTTCCCGATTTCTCTGCTTCCTTTATTGAACAATACCTTGGCTGTTTCCTCTTCTGATTACCTTTCTTTCCTCCTCTCTTCCCCTCTCTTCCCCTCCCTCTCCTCCTCCCCCTTTCCCTCTCCTTCCCATTGCCTTTCATCCTTTTGTTCTTACTCCCCTCCTTCTTCTTTTACTTTTTCTTCTTCTTTCTTTCTTCCTCTTCCTTCTCCTTCTTCTCTCTGTCAAAGTCTCTCTGTCTTTCTCTTTCTCTGTCTCTCGGCTGAAGATCACACTCAGGGCCTTGCACATGCTAGACAAGAGCTGTACCACTGAGCTGTAGCCTTAGTCCTTAGATTATTTCTTGAATCAATTCCTATTTCATTTTTACTGCTTTCATAAGCCAGATTTACAGGATTCCAAATGACCTTCACATTGCGAGTCCACTGGATTTTTCTTTTTGGCCTTCTCTTCTTTGATTGCTCAAGAGCAGCTGTCCAGTCTTCATCTGCTCGATCTGTATTTGGCTGTCCAGACACCATCCTGTTGGTTTCCTTGATAACCACTCATTCATCACCCATTAGAGCTGCTGCTTCAACTCTTCATTGTTGGGATGCTAGAGTCAGTCAATGGATGCCTCACTTACACTACTGAGAGATTCACTTCAACTTTCACTCCTTAAAACTCCAAATACACACAGATCACAGACAAAAACGTATGTGTAGTCCAGATGTTTTAGTTATTAGGAGATTAACTGCTTCAAAGTTATTCTGAATAGCTTTGTTAATTTTATTATCATTTCAAATTTAGTAAGTCCATAACTGAGCCCCTGATTCTCTTGAATTTCTCTGATCTTCTGTAATTGATAATTGATATTTCATTTTTCTAGGTACAATGCTAAAAGGTTGGAATAGATCTTGACTATTTTTCTTCTTCAATACTCTATATTTAGTCCATCAGTAAATCTTATTCCATTAAAATACATCCAGGGCTCAACAAGTTTCAAAGGAATTTATACTGCTCTCACCCTGGTCCAAGTTGTCCCCATTTGTCATCTGTCATTAATGGGTGATGCTTACAGCTGACTGCATTAGCTCTGGCTCTTTCTTCCCAGGAATTTGTTATTCACAGAACAGCCTGCATGATCTTTTTAATGTTTATAATCTTCAGAGTACGACCATCACAATAACATCCCAAATGATCCTTTTAACACAGCAAATGGAATCACTTTGCTGAACTGCACATATTTGTTATCCTGTATTAGTTAAACAGACCATGGATTGAGTTGATTCTTAGAATTACTTTGAAAAGCTGTTTTCAACATGAATCAAGATGGCAATGATTTGGTTGTATTGTTGTTGTTGTTGCTATTATTGTTATTTTTGAGACAGGATCTTGCTATAGGGATCATGCTGGCCTTGAACTCACTATATAATCCAAACTAGTCTCAAGTTCACAATGATTTTTCCTGCCTCAGTCTCCTGAGTACTAGGATTATAGGCATGCATCAGTATGCCAAGTTAACATATCCTGTGTGTTTGTGTGTAATTATTTGTGCAGTTATAACTTCAGACCATTAATTTTATTAATAGGCCTTGAAAATAGAATATAAAGAACTAATTTGCCTATTCAAAATAGCTAACATGCTAAGATACTACTTTTAACGGAATAGTAATTTAGTAATACTTCTTTGGCAATATATTTCATGCCCTGTATTTATATTAATATTTTGCAAATTTTAATTTAAAATATAAACATAAAATCTACCTGTGGTACAAATGTTATCCATGATTTCAAAAAGTTACATGATTATCTTTCAAAAGATTGAAAAGTCATATCAACAACTTTTGTATCAAAAATATGACTGTTAATAGAATGAAACAAAAACCTGAAGAAAAACATCATTTGTAGAGTATGCTATACTCTTACATACAAACATATACATGTAGTATTTATTTTAATAAAATAGATATAATTTCATGAAATTATGCTCTTCCTTGTTACATAGATTTCCTGCTCAGAAAATCTATTAGTCCTAGATGCTGCGGTTTCATAAGTATATAGCTAGATGGGAATACAAAATAATATTTTATTTTTATAATGTATACATGAGTTATTTATATCTAGTTGGAAGAATATAAAAAGTATTTTTCAAAAAATTCATAACTAAATTGTATCTAATAATTTAAAACTTCAAAATCAAAGACATGGAAGCAAATTTATGATATTTGATATCTGAAGTTGACCCAGAGAGCCTTTTCCCTTTGTCCTTGCCTGAATTTGGAGAAAAATAAGGCAAAGGACATTCCTTAATTGTCTCATCTAGGCCTGGTCCTTAAAAATTATATATATATATATATATATGTGTGTGTGTGTGTGTGTGTGTGTGTGTGTGTGTAGTCTAAAGGACACAATACACTTTCAGAAAGAAAAGTCATGCTAGTATCTTGAGCCAGCTGGTTAAAAATGATATTATAAGGTACATTTCTGTTTTTATTTAAATTAATTTATGTCTTTGTTTGGTTAATTTGATATCGCTGATCTTCTATTCCAAGTCATCTGGCTGCAAGTATTTTATCTAAGGTAGTATAACCATTCTTGATAATGCACTACATAAATGGAATGCCTAATGACTGGTTGAAACATGTAATTCCATTGGTATTTCTTTTTATATTACAGTGTGCCTTTAGCATGGAAGATTTAGGAAGCTGTCTGGGGTCCACTGCTACCAGTCATGTTACGGTGGCATAATAGATTTTCTTCAAGTATCCATACATTATAAATGTAAGTTATTATGTATCTGACAAAAGTAATTTGTAGAGGAGTATTTCTCAAACTATTTACATGACATCCATTGAAACAGCATTTCCTGCACTTAGGGTGAAATGACCATAGAAATTTGCTAACCTTTCATGACATAGGGACTTAAAAATCCATTACTTGCTTTAAAGAAATGCACTACTTGACTCTTTTAATTCTAACCGCAAACAGCTATCCAACATTTTCAGGATCATTAAATTAAAAAATGATAAGGAAAGAAAATCATTAACTAATTTATATGTCCCTTCTAATGAGAACAGAATTAGTAATTACTTTTCCTGTTGAGACATCCCATGGCCAGTCACCTGCATCGAAAGCACATACCTACTGTTAAAGGTAGTGCACCCACTGACTTGAAGTTTCAAAAGTTCACACTGGTATTTATAGATCCACGCTAATGCCAGTGGCATAGGGTCTTCGTGCTTAACCATTCAAACTAATCTGGAATTCATTTTTTCCTATGCTGTATTTGCTTTTTTCCTTTTCCTAGACTTCAGCCATGCTTAGTTCAGTCCTTTATTGTAACATTCAACAAATCTTTATTAAATTAATGTGTGCATCAATTTAGAAATTTTCATCTATGGATCATGAGGTTCATGAAAATCCTAATAGTCAGTTATTATTACCTTAAATTTGATCTATTTCATTGAACAATTTATAGGGACATACATTAACTTCTTTAGGACTTCATCTGCTGTCTTTGTCGAAGTTATAGAATCCATGATTTAAATTTATCAGATCTGTTTTCACTTCATCCATTTCCTTGGTGGTACTGATATCACAGTGATATCTATTATTTTATTTCCACACTAAAATCATATTTTAAATTCATATACTACACCCACCAGTAACACCTTAGTAAAGTTAATATAAAGGGCAAGTTAACAGTTACCCTTAGAACAGAAATTATGAAACCAACCACAAAGCAGTTTTAGAATTTTAAAGAGATATTTTCTAGCCAAACAGACCTGTGAAATTGCACCGTATTGAGTTAACAGGATTACACAGTATTAAGTATGAAAAAAAAAACAATTCTCCATGTATGTGTTGATAAGAGTTCTTATAGTTTCTATGTTGTGGAATAAATTTAAAGATGGGTTAGTTTTACCAATAGCGTTATTGAATTTTAAATAATAGAGCATCTTTGGTAACTTGCATTTACAACCCAACATCACTTTCTTAGATTGTATGTCACACAGCATCATAGTATGATTGTGATGACAGTTGTCAACTGTAATGCTCGTCTTTACTGGCAACTACATTTTATAATATTGGTGGAAACTTGCCATATAGAATTGGGCAAGACAGAAAGGGAATGAACCAAAATTAAAAACTTACACTGTCTTTTTCTTTTAATTAAGTTTCTTGGTACAGATAGATGTACTTAATGATTACATTTATCATAGGGATTTTGTACCTGTACATGATATATCTCGATTCCTCTTTTCTTCCCGTTTCCCTTCCCTGCCTTCAGCCCCTCTTCCTCTCCTTACTCAAGGAAGTATGCCCACTGGGTCCTCTGCCCACTGGAGAGCAATGTTCACCCCTCCCCCTTTCATCACCATACTCGGTATCTTAAGCCTCTGCTTACAGAAGGGGCTGCTCTGTCCATAGGAAGCCAGGGCCACAGCTTTCCATCACAGGCAGGTTTCTAAATATAAACACACACAGAATCCTAGACTGTAAAGTGATTCCTAAATACAAGTCACATTTAAGAAGGAGAACTTTAGAAAAAGTAAGTGGCTCTTACATTCTGGATTAGAAATCCTCTTCAGACTAGCTGGGATTTCTGAAAATGTCAACACGGAGAAAGCAGTTGTTCTCTTGTCTTAAAATAGTACAGACTGAACACTTAACCTCTCTGCTGCCCAGTCAGAGTCTAATTACTGTTTATATTAAACACACATGCACGCACACACACAGCCAGTTTGGCTTTCTTATAATGGAATAGAACAAGAGGAAAATAAAACATAATCATTGCTATTTAAAAGTAAAAAGAGTAAAAGGTATTTATAGGGATTTAAAAGAATTATGTCAGGCAACTGCAACTCAATTTCTCTATTATAACGCTGGTCCTTCAAAGTAACTCTATTCTAAGGAATTACCCTGCAGGAAAGAGTTTATAACTATTCATGATGAGGGATAATTATATTTTCAAATTTTAGTCTTATTTTTAGCAATTACAAAGGATCTGGAAAGGACATGAACTCTGAGGACACTTAGAGTAACAGTCCCTCCACTAAGATTTGTCACATGTTCACTGTTTACGAGTAACCACGTTTATTTACTGGATACAGCAAGCCTCCTTTTAGAAATATAAATACACATTTGCTTAAGCTTAATCAGCAGAGTGTCCTACTTAGAGTGGCATTTCCTATTTTGCTGAGGAATATTTACAGGTCTATTGTCCCCTCCATTTCAAAGTTACACACTAAGAATTTGACTATTTCTAAGCCAACATCTCAGACCTAACTTACAATGGCTAAGCACTGAATTTAAGTCTTTACACTTACTGTGGCCCTATTTACCCTATCCCTTCTAGCTAGGTTAAAGAGAATGATTATTTAAAAATGAATAATAATCGATTCCTGGTGCCAAAAATTTTTTAAAAAATTAAAATTAAAAAATAAATAGCTGAGCTTCATTTTTCAAATATAAACAATCGAATATCTTTAAACTTGTATATCTTTCTCATTTTCCTTTAATTCATGCAAGCAAACAGATAGTGATAACAATGTTAGCACAGATGATTCTAACAATGCAGAAGTATCATGTTTTTCATATCAAATGCCTAAAATATGTGTTTTTTATAATTATTTATAGAGAAAAAAAGAAAGGAAATAAAATTTTAAAAAGCAGTAAAAGGGTACAAATAATACAGAATTTCAAGGAAAAAAATACAGTAAGATATCACTAGTTAATAGATTACATATTGTCATCTTTGAAATAGTTGTCCAAATTATAAAATTAAAGCATGTAAAGTGAACATTCATACAATGAGATTGCACACAATGCTGATCAATGATCCAACAAAAGTTCAGTAATATGGATTTCCATCCTACACACTCAAACATACATGCAGTTATATCCCTTTGACCATCTTCCTTTCCTCTCTTTTTAATAACAGTTACACTTTTTGGGTTTTTTACTCCCACAATTATTATTATTTTTTGGAGAGAATAAAACCTAAAGTGGCTAAACAAAACAGAGTCAGTTAGAACAAAACGATGGGCATAGTACACGATGTAAAAATCGAATATCAGGTGATCTAAAATGGTTACCATTGTGCCTCTTGCTATTTTTTTAAAAAGTTGCCTATATCGTCAGGTATAATAGAATTGATCAAAACAGTACAGAACAAGACCAATAAAACCTACACTGGAGACCTTACAGGATTTCAAAAACAGATAATAGTCAAACCATAATGGGCGTCATAGTACTATATCTTATTGCCTTCAAAGTGGTTGCCTATACCCTCAAACTTGATACTATCAAACAAAACAGAATATAGAATCATCAGACAGAACAAAATGGGGAGAGCAATACTGGGGTAAAATCAGGTTAATAGGAAAACAAAAAGTTACTATAACATGTCCCACTATTTTTTAATTTAGTTTTCCCTTAATTGAAAAAAAAAAAGTAAGAAAAAATAGATTAAAAAAGGATGGGATTGAGGTAAAAGAGGACATTGTATTAGAACAACACAGGTCAAAACCAAACTATTTAAGCATCATTGTGTTTGACTTGATATGCTTGATGCTATAGTATATGAAGTTATACTCAAATAATTGAAGAAAGGAGGAACTATGGTAACTACTATTATGTTAGATTATCTGGGGATGAAACACAATAGAATATGTGTTTTAACTCCTATTTTTGGCAAGTCCTATACCCTTGAGTACAGGAGTCAGATATTCTTAAATGCATTTTTTCTCTTATTAAACAGGGATTCCATTCAATGAATGCACATTTTTCTGTGATATAAGAAAGATCACCTAGTATGGAAATTCATCCGATCCCTTCTGGAGGCTGACAGCTGTACGGGGTTACACTGAGTGGAGTGCTGATCCGACAGGGAGAGTCAGGGACCTGCTGAGGGAGCCCAGGGAGACCATGTCCATGTAAGCACCGTCCACCTGGAAAGCTCTGCCGTAACTGTGCTTGGCACCCTGGCCACCTCACTACTTGCACGTGCTCAGTCCACCATCTGTCGTGTTTACAACATCGTCACCTCAAAGGCCGAGGTAGCATGGGTAACTGGAGTATTAATCATTGTGTAGGCATGTGGCATTTTTGGAATTGTCTAAGAAAACTGACAACCAAATAATTTTTTTGAATGTTTCCTCTTCCTTGATACTAAAACTAGTCTATTTTTGCCATTCAGGGAATAAAAGGTTGTATAAATGAGCATTATTTGTAAATTAGGGAAAATGGAAATTTTGCTTTATATCAATATTAGAGTGCTTAATTTAGTATGTTTTGACATTTTTATAGAAATGCTATCACTTGGTTATCATTGTATAGGTAATTATTTGATTCTGTCAGCAATTATATACCAATTTTGTGTTCCATACTTAATCGCATGCTTGTGAAAGTATCACGACTTTCTTGATTCATATACAGGATGTGGCTAATCTCTCATTTCTTCTTGTATTGTTTGGCTTGTTTGTATGAGTGCTTTAAATGTATCATCTTTTCATGGAGCTATTATGTTTTTGAAGTCAGAGATTATAACTTCATTTCTGTGCTCCCACAATGATTACTGTGAAAAATACTGAAAAGTTTTATTAAACGATTAATAATGTAAAATGTCTTTAATGAAAAAAATACAGCAGAGTTTTCTCCTTACACTTTAAAAAAAAAAAAAACAATTTTCGAGTATATATATAATACGTTAACAGTGGAAGATCTGTCTTCACTTCATTCCAGATGATATTGTAATGAATATTCATTGAAAGCACAGAACCAAAATATGAGCGATAATAAAAATAAATTAAATACAATATAATCTTAAACTTAACGATTATTCTATATAGCCAGGGGGCAAATAGCTATTGAAAACATTTTTACAGAAAGCTTTGGGGTTTTTTATTTCCCTTTACAAATACATTTTGAATAATTGTTATGAATCAAATATTGGAATGCAGATTCATTGTTTAATAAATTAAATAAGAAAGAGGAACAACTTACCTCTATATATTATCTGAATATAGCATACCATAAATAATAATCTGTAGTAATATGCTAGCTAAAAATAAAAGTAACAAAGAGAACCAACTCTAAAGTTAACTCAGAGTATCCTTTTATTATTTCATATATATTTTTAATAGTTTTTAAGGATTTAAAAATATTTTCTCAGTAAAATGAGACTAATTATCACTGAAGCCACAATCCACATACCACATTTCACAGAATATACTAAAAATTAATATGTGAACTTGCGTCCAGAATGTCTCATATAGAACCCTTCTACTGCATTTTCTTCTCCTTTTCCACTGCTTATAAAATTGTTTAAAATACCTTTCATTTATCTCCAAATTACCCTTTATCCACCAAAATTATCCTTTTACTCATCCAATCAATCAGATTCTTGAGAGACAGATAAATTCCAATACTCATAGTTTCAAAAGCCTTATCTGAGTAACAATATTAATCTCAATATTAACGTCAACAATTAATCAGTACATGATTAATTGAAAAGTATGAAAATAAACTGTACTTGCAACTTTATTTTAGAATCAATGATCTGAGTAATTATCTGGCGTGGGAATGCAGGTACATCTTAATCCCACAGTAACTAAACAAATTTGCTCAACGTTACTAAATTCTTTGAAAATAATCTTGGAGTGGGAGAAAAAGAATCTAAACAAAATTGAATGAACATTTTGCATCAAAAATCTCACTTTGAGTATAAGGGGAATTAAAGCACATCATACACATAAAGTTACAAATTCTCACCCCCTATTTCTATGGCAAAGTCATCAGTTTGCCATATTTTTGAATTAACAATTTAAATTTCTTAAATGGTTCCTATTCAAAGGGGCACTCAGGAAATTATGATGCTATTGAGTATTTAAAAAAAATTCAAAAAAATCTATAACATTTATCCTTGTGTGCACTGATTTATCTCCTAAATAATATATTTAAAGAGATCTGTGTTAAATACACATTTAAGCTTTATTTCATTGACTACACAAAATGAAGAACAAAAACACTGCTTTTACTTAAATCTTATGTTCTTGGTTGTACGAATGGCTTAACAATAAAAAGAAATGTAACTGCTGCTCTCTCCTAGGGACATGTTCCTCCATATTTTACTTCATTTTATCAAACTGATTCTAAATTCAGAACTAGTTGGAGGAACAAAATGATAACACATCAAATTACTAGCTAAATATAGTGCTATAGGAAGAATGTTCTGAAAGGAAGATTGGCTGTTTAAAGATAAAGGAACATTAGGGTCAGCCATTAATGTCTAAGGCAAACAAATACTGTTCCAAGCACCCCACATAATATGCACTAATAGTGGGGTTTGGCTGGATCCAGGCTGAGGCAGGTGCATGTTTAGCAGCTGCAAACGCAGCACACAAACACACAGTTTCACATAGATAAGAATGCACAGCAAATACAAACCTGCTCACTTGAAACACACAGGACAGAAAAATGCAACAAAAATCCTCAAAAATAATGAGCTCATGTAAATGTTTAAACATTAGCTCTCCATCTCATTGTGATCACTGAATTCACAACCGCCCAAGATTTTGAGGCATACATGCACACACATTCGGGCTGAAGTTCTATGGGAAAATTATTCTTACAAAAGCTCACAATGTATTTGATCTAGAACTTAGCTAATTTGGTGCCTCAGTTTCCCTATTATAAAAATATAATATTTCTGAAGTTACTTTGCATCTTAAATGCATTAAATTTCAAAAAATAAAATATGATACAGCAAAAGTACTTATAACAGAGACTGATTAGTAGGATTGTGTATAAACATGAAACCTGCATATAAAATACCATAGTGCCTGGCTAATAAATTGTGTGACACACAAGTGCTAAATAATACATCATTGTTTTACATGGTTAATAGTTTATATGAAAAACAAAAAGCAAAACTTTGATTTATATTATCATAAACCTTACTTGAATTCAGAAAAGAATATTTTCTAATGTATAGTTATTTACGATATTTCGTTCACTAGACTTTTAGATAACACTAAACTAGATGTTTATTAATTTGACTCTGGAATCAGAAGAGACGTTCCCTAAACGAATTATTTTCAGAGTCCACAAGTGAATGATTCTTCTCCCTCAGGAAGCCTCCTTTAGCAGCCATGGAAAGATGGGCTCTATTTCAGCAGTGAGCAAGGGGCGACTGTGGCTGTAGTCACTTTTTTTGTTTATTGTTAATGTCCATAAACAAAATGTTCCGCGTAGACATTCAAAGGATCACAGCATCAGGCAAACTCCTGATGTCAGCTGAGAGAAAATCTAAATCCCACATTAAACTTTACCGTGTTAGTCTGTATTTTCTACAAACTACTTTGAAATTGTAACAAACAGCACATACTAAGCTGCTGAAAAGAACACATATCCAGGCTCTTGGACCTCTGAAAGTCACTAACCTGAAATGGGTCTACTTGGCTACACTCAGAGTTAGCAGGGCTGTGCTCCCCCTGGAGGTAAAGCCATTCATTTGTCTTTTCTTCCTGGAAAGGCCAGGTCATTTTAGGGCTGTGCCGGCTGCTGCACCTCACAGCCAGCTCCATGTGCCAGGCCCTCCTATGCTGCCCCTTCTCCATTCCCCTTTTCTCTCTTCTTCTGCCATGTTACAACTCTCCAGATAAGCCTGGCCCACCCGGAGAATTCAGGACACTCTTTCTTTTATTTTTCTATTCTATCGCTTGAACCCAGGGACTTTGCACTGATTGCTAAAATGCCCAGACCTGGTTCAAACTTGAAATCCTCCCAACCTCAGCCTTTCAGAGCTTTAGGACTACAGGCTTGTGCCACCGTGACTAGCGCATCTCCTATTTTAAATAAAGCTGAAGCAAATAGTTCAATGCACCATTTAACTTTCCTTTCTGGTGTTACCTATGCTGGGTTTCCATGATTAAGATACGGATATCCCAAAGAACTGTTATTCTGCCGATCACCTATCTACCTACTGGTCATTAGGGAGCAACTTCTAGGTTCAATGCCACTAATATTTGACAGTGTTAATAACAGGTATAGACATAATTAAAATCATATGTGTCTACTTTATGAATGATAAAGGTAAATGGGAATGACTGATACATGTGTGCTATTTTATATACAATGTTCAGGGTCCGAGAAAATCTGAAAAGTGGTGCTTGAAAAGCAATTCAAATTATGAGAAAAATTAAAAAGAGGTTTGTCTTAGTTACTTTTTACTCATGGCTGAGATAAAATACCTGACCCCCAAAGTTAGGGAAGGAAACGTTTACAGTTCTTGGAGGTGTCAGTCCATACTCAGTTGGCTCCGAGTGGCAAGGTGGCACGCCGGGTGCAGTTCAGGCAGCTGCACACAGCAAGCAGAATCTCGGAAGACAGACATCTTCCCGCCCATACGTCATATCCTGGCTCCACCCCTGGGCGGGTGTAGCACGCACACCACCAATCCGAGTGCTAGACAATGAACCAATCACAAACGCTAGATTTGGTCGCATCAACAATTGCTTGAAGCTTGGGTGCCACTGATATAAATAAACCATGAGGAAGTTACGTGGACAAGTGTAGGTAAAAGGAACACAAAAGCCTCCAACAGGAAGGGTATTTGATATACCTGGGAACAGCTTAGAAAACCAGAGAGTGTGCCTGGATAGACAAAGTGAGGGAGAGGGAGCAATCGCTGTGTGAAGAAAGAAAGAAAACATATGGAGCATTGTGGGATGCCGAGTTCAGAGACAGATACACTTGAGCAAAAGGGCATCTGCATAATTTGAAAAGCAACATTTTGCCATTCATTTTGTATGGAAAAGAGATGGCTGCAGGTAAGGCTGGAAGCAGGAAGCCCAGTTTGAAGCCCATTTTAATAATCCAGTTGAGAAATGATAGTGACTGGATAACAGTGCAAGCAGAGTGATGATTTGGATAAAACTAAAGTGACGGTATGATGAAATCTCCTGCTGGATTTGATTTGAATTTGGATGAGCGTGGGAATCCTAGACAACTCTTTTTTTGTCATGATAACTGAAAGAGTACAGCTTTGCATCCACTGAAATGGAACCAACTATAGGAAAAGTATACGTAGGATGAGAGTGTCAACAGCTCCACGACAGGACATGTTAGAATAGCTGTGAGACCTCTACTATCAGACAGTGTGGCTGGTCCACCACATTCTTACTGGTAGATGACGTTGTGAGTTTAAAATGGGAACATTTCTGAGCCTCTTTCAGACAGTGTGGCTGGTCCACCATATTCTTACTGGTAGATGACGTTGTGAGTTAAAAATGGGAACATTTCTGAGCCATGTGACTCAGTTATAGCTATTGGCATGTAAGAGACAGTGACAGATGTTCCTTCTACTTGTATCCATAAATTAAATGAGTTTTATGAGTATCCTCTGGTCTTTCCTCCATTCTTGCCACTATATGTCTAATATAAGAGTTGTTCCACCAGCTGGGTATGGTGGTGCACTCCTGTAATCCCAGCACTTAGGAGGCTGAGGCAGGCAGATCATTACAAGTTCGAGACCAGCCCGGGCTACAAAGTGAGCCCAAGGCCGCATAGTGAGACCTTGTCTCAAAAAGACAAATAGATAAATAAGTAAGAGTTGTTCCACCAACCTTGACCATAAACTAAGAGAAACAGACTGGCCCACTGCTTAAGTCAATATATTGTCAGTTTTTTGTATAGTAGCTTAACTTGTGTCTTCATTAAATATAGCACCTAAGAAAAAGATATTGACCAGGTAGCTAGGAAATGTTGGTATCTGGAAGATATTTTCAGTTTAAAAACCTGGATTAATGACCAATTCTCTACTCAGAAATTAACTCCATATTCACGAGTCAGCTTGAGTGGTGAAATAGATCCTCTATAGCATAGTGTTTGGCTTGCTATTTTCTCCTTTTAACTGCCACTCTATAAGACTACAATGCCCACCGGAACACTAGCCATACAATCCTACAATGCTCATAACAGAAAGTGATATTTTTACCTTGAAAAAGATCA